TGAAGCTCCTGGCTCCTGGCAGGTTGCCCAGAAGACCTGGAGGGGCATATTTGGCAAGGTGGCGGAGAGCTTTGCAGCGCAAAGATGACCATGTGCGGTAACACAGCGAAAGGACACATATGGGCCTATAACGCAAGACCTTAGTCGCCCCCAGTGTCTTTGCCAGCGAGGAGATGAGCCCTGTGAGGAGCTGTTGCGGCCAGACCCCTTGGGCCTCGGCCTGTCTGAGTAGAGAGAGGATTTCCTCCGTGAGCTCGACCGGCATTGCCAACAATCCCGGCGGCTGAGCCTGTCCGGGCCTGGCCCGGTCCGGGGCGATTTTTTGCGCAAGGCCGCGTACCACATCGGCACGGTGATGGCACTGGGCTCAAAGTCGGGAAACGGGGAAAAGTCATGGAAACTTTCAGCAAGGTGACGCCATGCTCCAACATCAACTTGCTCGTGGCGCATCCAACGCTTTCCCCATTCTGCCCCAAATTCAGAAAAAAAAATCCAGGAGGGACCCTATTAGGCGCGCTTGCTCAACTCGCATGCCCGGCACTAGGCCCGCAATGGTGCTAACCCAGACTTTATCCGGCTCTGCATGCACGACGTGCAAAGGCATGCCGTCACATGTGAAAGGGAGGCCCTCCGCCCATGCAGATTGCTCTTCCAAATCCAAAGCCTGCTCTTCCTCGCAAACCTCGGTAACCTCTGCAGATGCGGCCTCGACCAGGGACTCCACCGGCGCCCTTGGAGGGAGTTGCAGGTCTCGGAAGATCAAAGAGGGGTCTTCCTTTCTACGCTTAACTGCAGATGCCTTGCGGCGGCCCAGGAGGAAGGCTTCAAACTTCCTGAAGTTGGCCTCGAAGGAGAGGAAGATTTGCTGCGCCACCCCCAGCTGGGGACATGCAGCAGGGATGTCCAGGCAATCCTCAAGGAGTTGCACTTCTCGTGTCCGCCACCATGCCTGAAAGGATCCCGGAAAACCAGGTGCGCCCAGAATGGACTTCCAAAGCCCGTCACGATGGTCCAACCCAGCAGGGGCGATCCTACCGCTCTTGAGGGACTGGACCAAGGCCTGAACCCGTCTAACCTGCCTAAACCAGTGGCTGCGCTGCACACTGCAGCCAAAAAAGAGAGGCTCCACATCGCCCTGGCGGCCGCGGCGATGCGGAACAACTGTTGTCCTGCGACAGCGGACCTGCTGCACGATTCCCCGGCCTCGCTCCGCAGCCGACAAAGGTGGACGGCCTGCTTGCTGCTCCGCAGTGGACACCGCATCTTCATAAATCCGGCAGACATGAGCATACCTTTCAGAGGCATCCCCCCCAGAAAGAACAAAGGGGACGGAGAGGGCAACTTTCTCATCCGTGAACCTTGGTACGGGCTGCCGCCAGGAAAAGAAGGCTATGTGTTCACGTGGAATCTCAAAGGAAGCGGAAACCAAGGAGTGGTCCGGCCAAAATGTCGGGTCAATCCGAGCCTCCAAAAACGTGGCCTGCAATTCGGGCGAGACAAACAAGAAGTCCTTCCTCGTTTTGCCCTTGCAAGTTGCCTCTGCCGCATGACCAGTGCGCTCTGCTCGCCCGGGCCCAGAGCAGCTCAAGTTGAGGCAACTCATGTAGCTCCAAATTCCAATCTCCTGCCACAAAGCGCGGGCCGACAGGTTGAGAGAGAACCCTGTCCAAAACAGCATCCAGGATGGGTCCGGTACGACCCTTGTCAGTGGCAAATCCATAACAAACACCCCCCAAAATCCAGATATCCCCAACAAGGAAAGAGGCAACCTGGCCTGAACTCTTGAAGTTTGATACACCTCCGGCGGCCAAGCCTGTGCAACCACTCTTGCTGGGAAGGAGGAGAGGAAACCAACACCTTGGTAAGTTCCCGTAGACGGGCTGCGTGCCCGCGGCGACACGGCATGTCCATGCCAAAACGAAAAAGGCTCCCCCGAGCTTTAGTCCTGTTTTGAAATCTTGAAGACCTTGGTTGGTCAAGTGGGTCTCAGTGACCGCATAAACCCCCGGCTCGAGTTGAGCCACAACCCCATGCTTCGCCCCCAATCCTGTAGGATTAAAGGTGCCCAAAGTAAACCCCGGTCCCGGGTGGCTCGCCTCTCCAAAGCGTGTGGAGCGGGAGGCACAAAGGCGGCCCACCGTCTGTAACCCATGAAAAAACTGAACGCGAGCCATGAGTAGTCACTCGGCTCGGGGCTTCTTGGTAGACCCTATGAGCTCCTCTATGCGGCTCATTTGCTCCGCAAAGAGAGATTGCAAAAGACCCTCCTGAGAGTCCACCTTCTGAGCTACGTGACCAACCTTGGCATCAAGGGCATTAATGCGTGAGTCCAATTCTCCATGGGAGGAGGCAAGCCGGCTTTCCACCCGTGCCATGATGGAGGCCTGCATGGACTCAGCAGAAGTGCCATCAGGGGCAGCAGCCTTCAGCTTGTGCAAGACAGACTGTTCGATCTGTCGTGCGGCATCACTCGCAAGGGGCAGGCCGACATGGTGAGTGCGAAGCGTGGATGATTTATCCAAAGCAGCCTGCCAAGGATCCATGCTTTGCAGGGGATCGACGCCTTTGCGATCAGAAGTGCTGGCGGCGGGACTCATGCCCTGCAGTGTGCGCCTTGAGGCAAGGACAGGAGGCTGATCTTGCTGAACCGGAACCCGGGAGGTGACTTCATGAAAGATGCCTTCTTAAAAGCAGCATGGAGTGAATCCATGGGAGGAGGGGTTTCAGCCTCGATCAAGAACCACAGCCCGCCCCTTTTGCCCGGACAGGGCTGGGCCGGCCTCGCACGCTGCCATCCAAAGGAAAGGAGGGCCCTCCCTATGACCTGACGTTGTGTCCCAAATGGCCAAGGTCCACTTTCGTAAACTCTCAAGCGAGCTTTGTCAACCCACATCGTTGCAGGACGCAGCTTCTTGTGAAGGGACTCCTCCTCATCCTTGAGGCACCTAACCCCGAAGCGTTCGCCTATGCGTGCAAGGCCGACTATCGAAGGATGAGTTTGCATCAGCATGAGCGCCTCTTGCTGAGTTCCACGCGGTAACCATATTACTGCAAAGCGGCTGGAAGGCAACTTGACGCCATCCTCACGGGGCTCCACAAACACTCCTGACAATCCGGAGAAGGCCTGCAGTGGCATCTCAAGCTGTGCTGGCAGGCGGATGAAAACCTGGAAGGAGGTGGTGGCAGAAGGAGGCACAGGCTTAAAGGCAGCATTGTAGAAGCACCTTCCCCACGTCTCAAGTATTGAGGGGGGTTGTCCAGGATCCGAAATTCCGTGCCATTTCGGGCACTCACAGCCCGCCGTGTCGCAGGTTTAGGCTCTCGGATCCTTCTGCCAAAACGCTCTGCGAACAGACTGTAAACTTGCGCGCTCAACCAGCACGCCTCTGGAAGGGTGCGGGTCCTAAAAACCCTAACCCCTAACCCACACTACTACCCTGTCATGACATGGTAGCTTCCCTTCCTTTTTCTATTCTTCCTGTCCTAAAAACCTTCTATAGTCCCATATAAGCTCTGTAGAATCCCATATAAACCAAACCCTATATAAACCCTATATAAGCCCTACGTAAACCCTGTAAACACCCTATATAAGCCCCATATGTCCCTACTCCTACTCCACAACCTCCTGAACTTTTCCAGGTTGACTTCAAAATCCCCAGCGGCCCCCCACTCGGACGATCGAATCCAAATGTTAACCCTTCAAATCCTTCGAGGAAAAGCTGGTTTAGGGTTTAAGGGTTTTTTTAGGGTTTAGGGTAGTAACGTCATAGTGCTGACTTGAAACATCCAGCATGACCCTATGTAATCAACTGGTGGGAAGTATGGGAATGTCATATCATAGAGTCATCATGGTCATGCAGGCACGCTTGTATCTACTGCCCTCCTGACAATGGGGCCGGTGACCGAAAAGAAGCACGACTCGTCTGTGAGAATGGCTCGCGGTTCAAGTGTTGGGCTCTTTCCCACTGACAGTAAACACACGCTCTGCAATTGCAAGTATAGTATACGCCTGATACATTGCCTATCTATGCATGTTAGTGGGGAGGGGCGTGCCTAAATCAAGTATAGTTTCCATTGAATCTCAATTCGCTTCTAGCAGCAGAAATTGACCCACACGGACGGCTTAAACTTGGTGCCGGAAGTTTCCTGAGGGGCTTCCATTGCTGTGGCATCCCCGAACCCTATACCCCTAGAAAATGCCTTTTCAGGGTGTTCCAAGGATCCTCAATGAATCCGGCACCCCAAAATCTAGATCCGACTACGCCATAATCCTTATGGTCCTTATGGTGAGTCCCTGAACCTTGTACCCTAATTTTGGATATCCTAACCTCATATGTCCCTAAACAACCCTGTAGAGACACCATTAACCCATCTCTCTATACATATCATATATATATATACCCTATCCTTTCAACGACCCCTGGTAGCTTACTGTAGGAAGCCCTTCAGCTCGAGGCCTGTACCCCAAAACACGGAAGAGGGCTTTCGGGTTTAGGGTTTTGGGCTTTGGATTTAAGGTTTAGGGCGTAGGTTTTAGGGTTTAGGGTCTAGGGTTTGGGTTTTAGGTTTCTGGAGTTAGGGGTTTAAATCAGTGGTTCACTATAACGCTAATAATGCAGAACCCCAAGGAAAAATGAAATCCAAACCTCGCAGTTATAGGGATCTATATATATATATATATACATCACATGTGGGGTTTTAGAATAACTGGTACTTCCGACCGAATAAAATCTGTTTCCCTGGAAACTCCAAGTAGCATTTTCTTGTTTATAGACGTCCCCTTGAAAGGGTTTACGGACAGCATCCCGATGAAGAGCTAGCGTCTGGATAGGCATATTACAGAAAATAATGTTATCCATCATAGTCACCATGAAGCCTCTGCGATTTTACCTGATAACTACCTAGCTTTAGAGCACCTTTTGGTCATCATGCCTGCATAGGCGGTTTCCGCACTTGCAAACTTCTTCTTCCAAGCCAGGGCTAAGGGTTTAGGCTTAAGCCTCCAGGCGCGGCAATATTCGGAATTGTCTGCTGCCAGGCTCCTTCGCTGAAGTGGGGCTCAGGGAACTTTCAACCCTCAACATCACCGATGCAGCACTTCCACCAAACAAACTAGAGGTTTAGGAAGCATGCATGCTTCCATCTGACAGCTGCTGTCTGCGCATTACACTTAGCATGGAGGTTACGTTTGCTCGGGCAGTGACAGATGAGATTGGTATCATGGAAGTGGTTCGTTGCAAAATCTGCATAGGCAAATGGGGTATTGTATAAGGTTGCATGCTGCTGATGCCATAGCACAAGAACTTGACAACACTATCAGACATTCAAGAGTTGTTTTCCACTACTTCTGCGGCCATAGAATGAACGCATGCCACTTCAGATGTCCAGAATTACAGGGATGCACGGTTTCTGAGCCAGTCTAAGCAATGAATGGGTGATCTGTGAACAGAGCAGGGAGCCTTTAACACATTGAGGAGAAAGCTTTCAATAAGTTTTAAACCTGATATACTCGAAACTCGGAGTCCCGCTCATCTTACCTCTTGGGATCAGGCGCGTTGCGTAGACCATGAATTTACAGAGGTCTTTGTCAAGATCAGGAGGCAAGGTCCCAAACCTCAGCTAACCTACCCAAGGACGCAGAGAAACTCCAACTGATGGGGTTTGTACAAGTGACAATCACAACAGACCATAGGTTCTTGCAATGAAACAGATCATCAGCAAACAACTTCAGGCTGTTTGACTCCGAGCGTGTAGACCGAAAAGATACCCGCAACCCTGAACCCACCAGCGTCAAAATCCTAAATCTTGGATACAGCCCAAGTTCAATACTATTTCTACTATGACTATGTACAGCCCGTAGTCATACCCCAATTCTAGACTGTTACTGGATGAAGGCAGTAACCCAAACCCTGAACCCTTCAACGCAAACCTTCAAAAACTGTCGGGAACATGCTGGGGCCTGCTTTGCCGATGTGGCAAGGGAGGCCTTTCGGTGGCATGAGAGGACAGCTTACAATTTTAATGTAGGGGTTTAGGGTTTCGGGTTTAGGATTAGGGTTGGGAGTGAAAGGGCATATGGGGCTTCGGGTCAAAACCTGAACAACGAGGAATGCAGCACATCAGAAGAGAGCTTCAGGGCAGGAAATGTGGAATTCCTGCATGCAATTCCGACAAACGTAAATCATGTGCGCACAACGGCTCCTGTAAGCCTAAAACCTTTGACCCACTTTAAGGGCTTAGTGGGCCATATGAACCCAGGCTCCCGTCATGTGCAAAGCTCTGAACGCCTCACAAAGCTTGCAAACAGCCAAATGGGTGGCTGTCAAAATTGTGGTCCCTTGTGGGGTACCCTAAATATTAGGTGCCATATTACAATAGGGACCCAAAAAGGGACCATAATTTTGACAACCACCCAAATAAAGCTCCTACAGTTTATGAGCTCGGTCTGGGCAAACTGTAGAAAGCCTTGCACCAAAAATCTCAGACACTGGGAGCTTGACAGCCTTGCGCACGAAACCCTCAGCGTTGAGTATTAGGAACACACGTCAACCTACCCTCCACAAACACCATATGAAAATTGGTTGGGTCTTCAAGTACACTGCTAAATCGCATGGGGCAAGAGGCTCAACATGAAGGGAAGGAATTGAACAAATCTCCCAACTCCAGCCTGCAAGCCGCTGACAGACTCAAAACCTTCGAAGCCCTTGGAACCTCTGAAATCCTTCAGAACACACACTTGCCTCATGGCAGAATCCAGACTTAGGGCCCCTTTGTGACCCGAAGATGCAAAAATCCTTACTGTAGAGACCCCCGAAGAATGGGAGCCCTAATTTTCGGAAGTCCCCCTGTCCCAAATTGCGAGAGTCCGAGCTGCCTCCGTGACCCCATATCGGAGATTCTTGTCTGATGCAATCCTTGAAATGGCGTCGAATACATCCAAGAAAGACTCCCGATTGTATGGTACTCGGGGTGCATTGGTGCTCGGGTTGGGGGCATGAGGTTATGACATTCGCTTTTTTGCGAATGGCAGTTACATGTGCGACAGAGACTTAAGGAATCAGCTCGCATATCCTCATGAGAACTGACAAATATGAGGACCTGTGTGAAACCGATTTTCGGCAAATCCCAATGTGTAGGGTTGATACGAGCCATCTAACCACAGGCAGGTGAGTAAGGTTCAGAGTGGATTGGCGTGAGGTCGGCTTAGGAGTTTGGCAAAAATCCAATCAGGCTTGCACATCGAGACAGCGATAGCTCAAGGACTACCCAGCAGCTAGAACTGCCCAGGGTCCACGTTCCACACGGTACGAGAACAGCAGTATCTGTACAGAGTTCCCTGCACTACACCTTCATCTGCTCCCGAACCCTTGCGAACTGTCCATATGACTGGAGGAACAAGGGTGAAGGGCATACAGTCTGCTGAACGTACACTGTTAGGTCATGTAGGGATAATGGAAAATAAAATGGCAACTACTATAGTATACTGGGTTTATATTGGGATAATGGAAAAGAAAATGGAAACTACAAACAAACCTGGAAGCTGATGTAGCGCTCTTTTTGAAGGACCATAGTCCTTGTAGGCCCCTTTTGGGGCTTCCCTGCTACCCTAAACCGCAAGACGCACCACCCCCCCCTTTAGCACCCTTTGGCTGCTTCTGGACACCACACTGCAAATCCCTTTTACAATGAACCCTAAACCCTAAACCCTAAACTCTGGCAATGAGCCCTAAAGCCTACAGCCCAACCCGTAAATCCTTTCTCCCAAAACAGCTTCTCCTGCAAGAGGAACTTTAGAATTTAGTGTCTAAGGGCTTGTATCATATCTAGATCAGTTGTGCCAGAAGAGGCGTGCATTGAAAGAACTTGTGGAGGAACTGGGCACTGATGGAAGCATTGATGGACTCCATGAGACAGAACACGTGAATGGATTGCAACATTGAGCAAGATTCTATACAGTAATCAACTCCAGCCAATGGCTTCCATCAATTCAACAAATAGGTTCCCTAGAAAAAGCTTCTCAGAACAGTGATCAAAGTGGTTCAGTTGATTTGCGAATGCTTCGAAACTAGTTTCTTTCTTTGGCCGTCGAGTTCATGGCTATCACCGATCCGACCTTCTCGATAAAATCTGCCCCGAATCTATCTTAAATGGATTGACAGTACTTCGAAGGTCCCTAAACTGATGTACGGATAGGTTCCCTTAACTTAAACAACAATCGGGGAAAATGGTACTAGACCCTAAACCCTAAAGCCTAAACCCTGAACCCTAAACCCTAAACCCTAAACTAGTCATTATTCCGAGGTGCCACCTAGTTAAGACATGCTCAGCTCAAGTATTCGTTATTAGCGGAGAGGAGAAGAGGCGGTAGGTCAGTAGATGCACCCCAATAACCATTCCCAGATACCCTATCATATGCCTAGAGGCTTTGTTCCAGAGCATGACATGATAACATTTTTGGAGTTTAGGATTTAGAGCTTGGGATTGAGGGTTGAGGGCTAAGTATGACGTCCACATGTCCCTGCGGTGGCGGGTGGAGATCGTGCAACACCTTAAACTTTGCATTAAATACCGCATAAGTCGCTATAGCCTTAGGAACTACGGCACTTTGATAGTCCCAGGCGGTGCAAGATTTCCTACATCTAAACCGCATGCCCTAAACCCTAAACCCCTAAACCCTAATCCCTCAGCACAAATTCTGATGCCTCCACTTGGCATGCCTTGCTGACGGAGAGATGTCTTGATAGCACCGGCCATCTGCACAAACTGGACCAAAAAGTCAGTATCGATGACTCCAGCAGACCAGTGACAAGTCGAGCTGCATTGCTGAAATCCCGGGTGGGTGTGAAGGGCCTGTTCGCAGCACGGCCTTCAATCAACAAGTGGGCGATTGAGGACAGACATGTGCCACCGGAATACCTCAGATTAGCAGCTACGCGGCAATATTTATATATACAGATATACACACTTCCTTATTCTCTACTAGAACCTCAATGTATGCCATCATAATGTAATAGCTTCCATGTTCTTTGCCATTATCCGTATATAACCCCAATATGCCCAAGCCATCCTAAGCTTGGAATGCTTGAAGGTGATCATCTCAATCCCTGGCACCTGCGCAAAAGAATATCCAGTCAATCCTGAAACAAACCCTATACCTGAAACTCCTTAACCCTAAACCCTGAAACAAACCCCCTATACCCTAAACCCTAAACCCCTAAACCCTACACCATTAAACCCCCAAACCCTAACCCTAAACCCTAAACCCCTAAACCCTAGAAGCAAACCTTGCCCAGTGGCAGCTTCAGAGCCTTGTGAACCTGCAGTGCGTCTTGCAAAGCCTGGACCACGAATTTTTTCATAAAGGGTTTCGGTTGGGATGATGGTTTAAGGTTGAAGGATGCGGGAATTGGATTTAGGGATACAAAGGATTTAGGGTTTAGGGACATAAAGCCGAATCCTTTACCACCCACCATATTAAGGGCTATATATATATATATACGCATTTGTATTATATGCAGCCCCAACTGTTGCTGAGTGGGCGCAGTACCCAACACCAAACCTACACCAATACGCCCAAAAAAGGTTCAGGTCCGGAGATTGGCTGCAGGTAGTCTACGGCTCAGTTCATTCGGGGCCACCTCAGCACTACAACCCAAAGCCTCCGAACTCGGAAGCCTTTACCCTGATCCGCAATAACTGACAAAGCATGTGGTGGATAAATGAGCTATAGTCTAAACTCCTAGTTTTCCCTTTTAATAAGGCCTATAGCAGTCCCCTATATAATCCCCTATATAATCCCCCTTTAAGGAGTGTAGACTATGGCTTAAATGGTGACGAACATTTTCAACGGACCAGGGTTAGGACAACAGTCATGATGCCCAGAGTTGTTCCGAATGAAGGTCTTAGACAGGTGTCTCGGGACCGCAGGTAGATTCTGTGTTGCTACCCCTAAGCCCTGAACCTTAAACACTACTATGGGAGCTTCCGTGTTCATTCCCATTCCCGTACAGGTGCCTATAATGATGGCTACGTGGAAACAAACTGAAGCACATGGTTGCGACCTCCATACCGACCTCGCTGATTTCGTTGTACTGTAAGTCAATCTCAGTCACCTTGGACTACACTTTGCAAACAGCTCGGGCACTGTCTATGAAGTGGGGGATCTCTTGTCCAACTCACGCTGGGTGCAAGAAACAATCCTATCAAATACCTAGATCCTAAAATGCGCATCCATGATGGTATGTATATATAAGAATATTTCTTATAGTATATAAGATATACTATATACTGTATAGTATAGTCTATAGCATAGTGTATATATATATACATATCATGAGTCCCTGGAACACTACCAGATTTGGGCCTGGGGGAAGACATCTCGCCTTGAAGCGTGGGAGTGATCAAAGTCCAAGCTGGCCTGGGGGCCCCTCGGATGGTCCCACCAACTAACATGGAGTCCCAAAATTAAGGCTTAGGGTTTAGGGTTTAGGGTTTAGGGTTTAGGGTTCAGGGTACTTTTAAAAGAAATTATGAGGGTTATAAGGGTTTTGAGGTTTAGGGCTTAGGGCTTCGGGTTTCCCAAAATTCGGGGTACCGTTTTTGGGGGTCCATATAGTAAGGGTTATAATATATTAGGGACTACATTGGGGTCCCGCTATTAAAGAAAACTACCAGATGTAACTCAACAATACAATGCTGGGAAACAGTGTATGGGGATCGGGGTAAGATTCCCTAATCCCTATAATCCCCTATAGGAACACAGTTTCCATTTTATTTTCCATGTTCTTTTCCGTTTGATTCTCCATTATAGGGGGATAATATACTATATATATATATACCCAATATCCATTTTATTGTCCATTATCCCTCTATAACCCCAATATACTATAGTAGGTTCATTATCCCAATGGAATCATAGAGGGGCCCCAATATACTATAGTAGGTATCCAAGATTGCGAGACGGTCATCGGAGAGTCTCGTCACACGGTCGATCAAAGACAAGGGGCTATGTCCTCTGAGCTGTTTGGGGTTTAGGGTTTAG